GGGGGGGGGGGCGACACTGTTCAGTGATTTGTAGACATACAGGAGTATTTTGAACTGGATTCGAAGGTGAACTGGGAGCCAGTGCAGTGAGGCCAAAACTGGTGTAATGTGCTCTCTTTTGCCTGTACTGGTTAAAAATGGGGCTGCTGCATTCTGGACCAGTTGTAGTCGTGCAATGGAGGTCTGACTGATACCAAACAGGAGCGAACTGTAGTAATCGAACCTAGATGTTATGAATGAATGTATTACTGTCTCCAGGTTGTCTTTGGACAGTATGGGCTTCAGCTTAGACAGTCGCCTCAGCTGGAAAAAAACTGGATTTAACAATCATGTTTACATGACTGTTAAGTTTCATGGAAGGATCCATTATCACTCCCAGAGTGATAACAGGCTAACAGCAGATTAATAATAAGCGAATAACAGGCTAATAACTGGTAAATAATAGGTTAATGACATGTAAATACCAGGCTAATAACAGGCCAGTAACAGGCTAATATGTTAATAACAGGCTAATATGTTAATAGCAGGCTAATATGGTAATCACAGGCTAATAATAGGCTAATATGTAAATAATAGGCTAATAACATGTAAATAACAGGCTAATAACAAACAGGCTAATAACAGTCTAATAATAGGCTAATAACAGGTTAGTCATTTCCAGGATCTGGTACCTGACCCAGCAGCTTGTAGAACCTCCTTCAGCAGCAAAACTCTCAGTGGTTCTCTGTGGGACTTCATCAGTCCCTCTCCTGGTTCTGGAGGAACTCTGGTCCACTCAGTGACTGGCAGGAGCCCAAAGCACCTGCTGAAAGCTGGAGCTGTTCACTGCAGTGCATTCTGGGTAAACAGAAGGGCGTTTGGTCCAGAAGTGTTTCTCTCTTGTGCTGCCATGTTGTTTTCAGAGAGGCTCCCAAAAAGCCATGACCTTCGACTTGCTAACTGACGACTGTGGAGTCTGAGATGGAGCTCGTTTCTTTGAGCACTGCACTGTGTGACCTTCAGGGGGAATCAGCTGTGAAGATTGTCAGCTGTCTTCAATGTTTTCCACTCGTGAAAAATCTCTCTGATGGCCTTTGATTCTTCTGGGCAGCAGCAGGTGATTCTCTGAGGTCATTGCTGATGTCTCTCCATCTTGGTGTTGTGTTAACACTCACCTGCATGCTCTAGAACTGCAGAATCTCCTGAGGAGGACGTTTAATAAAAACTGACTCTGTGGAACCTGTTGGCTGTTTCTGTTCACTAAAGGTTAGATTTAAATGATTAGTTAGATAAACCTAACCTCAGCTTTAGCAATATGAAACCTCAGCTGAGAACTGTAATTAGCCTGTTATTAACCTGGGATTAGCCTGTTTGCTATTAGTCTATTATTTACCTGTTATTAGCCCGTTATTACCTTTTATTAGTCTAATATTTACCTAGGGCTGAGTACTGAACCGAGGTTCTTTTATCGCACCAACCGAACTGCACCGGTCGTGTTTGGATTGAAATATCACTCTTTTTTTGATGTAAAGTTTCGGTATCGGCTGTAACGTGTCACGTGGTTTCAGCAAGAAGGCATGTAAAACACAGACACATGACAAACTACGTGTTTACAGCCAGAGCTGTATAGAGCTGCCGTACCTAATCTATGTATAATGTATGTCTATGGTGCTGGTGACGCCCACAGACGGGGTTCACGTGTGCAGCGTGTGTGTTGTCGAACGGCTTTAATTTACGAGTGGAAAGTTGCTCCGTGTTTGTCTTTAAGGGGGACAGCAGCCTCCCCCCCCCCCCCTCAGCATTGAAGTCAGCCTGTGAGTGTTAGAGAGCATGAACTACATGATTCATTATCTCCATGACCTGACTCGTCTTCATCAAAGAACTCCCAAGGACTGCTCTGTGTCTATGTTTCAGCTGGTGAGTTTACGTTTAACGTTACTGCAGCTTAACACGTACATTGCGGTGAATTAAACTAGAATCCATGTAACGCTAACTTTAAGATATTAGTGTGTAAATTTATTTTATGAATATCTACATAGCTAGCTAAACTCAGAAGCTAACTAAAGATTGACAGTAACAGATAAATCTTAGCTTGTAAAACTGCTCATCCATCCAGTCAGCTGCTTAAACAGTTCACTAATGTTCACTGTTTATGTTAATGTTCTCCTCACAGGAGGTTCTGACCCAGATATGAGGACAGACAAAAGTGAGGTGGGGGCCACAGGACAGTCACAGACTTTGTTGTTAAAAGTTTGCTGTCGTTCTACAGTGGAGCTGCACGGTGGAGGTAAATTAAGCTGTAAAGGATGTTGTTGACCAGTTAAACCAGTATCTCTCAGCCTAGTTAATGTTTTTGATCAATAATAACACAACCATGTTATTGTTGATGTTTTGTTCTCATGTCAATTAGAGAGATGATCAGAGCCCTAAACCCCAGAGAACCCCAGAGAAGATTCAGGCAGAGACACAGAGGTGCAGAAGTCTGCATCAACCCTAACCTCAGTGAATTCAGTGACCTGCTGGTGGAATGTGAGGGACAATATGTCAGTGCTGTCAAACTGACAACCAGGTATCTGTGTGCAACAAGCATCATCCACACCCTCAGAGTGAACATGTTCTACTGCTGGAGACTAGGAATGCGCGATATAAACGGTACACGGTAGAAACAATAGAAATTTAGCCTACGATAGAGATCTGACTTCTACCGGCTAACCGCAGTAATGCTGTGTCTGAAGTAAAATCAGAGTTGTCAGTTTAATCGTTACTTTTTTTAGTTGAAAACTGTCCATAAGTGGCGTTAAACGAACGTTAGTGTTTACACGAACGTACAAGATGCATACAAAGCCGAACCCCGCCCCCACCTAGGACTGTCAGACCACATCTCAATCTTCCTGGCTCCTGCTTACATGCCCCCGCTGAGACGCTCCAGACCGGTACAAAAGAAAGTTAAATGCTGGATCCAGGACAGTGGCCCCATACTGAGAAATTGTTTTGACCGAACAGACTGGCAGGTTTTCAGAGAAGCTGCTGAAAATGGAGGTTCGCTTGATCTTGACCAATACACATCCTCAGTTCTGGGTTACATTAGTACATGTACTGACACCGTCTCCACTATCAGAAATGTTAAAAGCTACCCAAACAGAAAACCTTGGCTGAATGCAGAGGTGCGTACCCTGCTGGAAGCCAGGAACACTGCCTTCAGGTCTGGAAACTCAGAGGAG